GATATTGGTTGAGAAAAATGTTTTCTCCCCGTGTTTCATGTCCGCTAACTCACTGATTGGATGGATGTCCAGTTATTAGACATTTAGCTATATTTTGCCCAGAGGCTCATAATATTATATTGCAAGTATAAACCCGTAAGGTTCAAGATTTTGCTATCAGACAAGTCGAAGTGACCTTTATTCGTGATCCCGCTTAGTGACGCTGCTTGACTACCCTTGATGTCATTGTCAACAAATTGATTCGTTAAATTTTAGACGAGGAGTCAACACCGTACAACGAAATACAGTGAGACGAACTTCACTGATCGAGGACAGTTGGGTATTCTTGTATGGAGGAGGTAGCTGAGACATTTAAAAAGATCTATTCCAACTCGGAACAGGTTACTTACGTTTATTCCGAGGTTAGCAAATCAGTGGGTTAGTTTCATAAACTGACCAATAGCATTTCAGTCCCAATTCGACAATCGTTTATTTATTTATTATTAGTAGATCTCAGTTCAGTTCAGCTTAAAAAACCATTAGGCACGCACTTCCATGCGTCGCTTTTGGTTGATGGCTTTTGGCTGCCCATTTGGGTAAACAATAGGAGGAAAACAGGAAGGTTAAAAGTAGGATCGTAGACAAAATTGAGAAGTTCAGTGGACTAATGTTGCAAGATGTACGAACGCCACTGTTTACGACATCCAGCGAAATCACTCAGTGCCTCTAACCATCGGTTAAAACAACCTAGAGGTCCCCATTCAAGGAGCCTAACGGGATCTATGCGACCCGGACTCCTGGTTAGGATTTTCATACCCTCATGGTAGGTCTTAGCTTCACCGCCCTTGGCTTTATTCCACTCACTACCTGCTTCGGCAAACATCGCTCGCCGTGGCAGCCTATCTGGTAATATATATATTTTACACCGGCTTGTGAACAAGCATGGTGCCAATGCCACAACAATATTAACAATAACAATAATAGGGGACAGGTGGATCGGGATACAGAGCAGAATGGAAAGAGGGTGAAAATGTAAATACGAAAAAATAGAAGATAACCGGGACAACAACACATTTTTGTGATTCAACGTAAACTTTTGATATGATTTTGTGTTGCTTTTGTTTCTTACGAGGCATGGAATTTCGACAAGCAGACCGTATAGTATTCGCGCCCCTGGGCCATATCTCTCTAACCAACGACAATCCTCATCCCTTGGGCCCCAACCTGGAAGGCGGGCTGCACCAATTGAAACCAAAGCTGAAACCAGCTTCTTCATGCCTCTACGCTATGTCACGGTCTGACCGCCGCGGCAGGTGCGAAGAGAACACGGAAAGGTAGTTGATGGGCAGACATACGCCATACGTGAACAAGCCATCGGAGGTGATGTAGAGCAATTACTTATGTTAGAGAATAACTATCCGCACCCAGCACAAGACGACGAAACGGGATGAAACTAGAGGTTTCGTCAACTTGAGCGATCGATCCTGAATCAGAAAATTTATTTTTTATAATTATTTTAGGCTTCAGTTGCTTAAAATCAAGAAATACTAATATAATATTGCAAGGTTTGGTGATGGCCACATCAGTACAACAGCATGAAATTTACTTGGTCCAGTGTTGTTTCACCTGATCTGAACCGGTGCGTTGCTGTGAATTAAGTTCTCTCTACAAATAGAAAAATTAAATAATGTGAATTTTAGTTGATTTTTGCTTTTTGAGATCGTTTCAATACGAGACCCTATCTACGCACTTATACGCATATTCTCGATATTTGTAACATGACTGAGTGAGAACTTTATTCGAATGATTTTCTCCCTCTCCATTGAAAGGAGGACGAGTTGGATCAGGAACGAAAACAAACAACCGATATTTTGGCCAAACTGGAAGTACAGCTGAGAGAAAATGCCAAATTGATGGCTGAGGTGAGTTTTTTTTTAGGAGTATACGAGGAAGATAGCTATAGCCTCGTTGATCTAAAACCCGCTTCTATGTGTTTAGCAGGCCATTTTGGTGGTGTTTCTCTAGTTCGTTGTTGTAGGACACATCTGTAAATGCGAGGAAGTATGGATTGATAACGAACGTGTGTGTGTGTGTGAAGAACCCTCTTTAGTCAATCCGGCATTCACTCTACTTAATCTTTTCGTGCAATTCTTCTGATGTCGGCTGCACGTGGTCCGTTGATCTACTTGTAGATTGTTCCATCCGGGAGCGGTAACTGCAAATAATGTTGGTGTAAGACGACGGCCTAGTATGCACAGCTCTATATCTAATCAATGAAAATTACTCATTCATTTTGGTTAAATTCATTTCACCATGACACTCCTGATCAAGATGGTTTGATATGTGAAAGATGTATCTCGTGAAAGAACCTACGTCGTTTAATTGCTTTCTACTCAAGTCAAGTCCGTAGTAGCGCCCGCATTCGCAGCTGCGAAATGCGACGCACGTTCCTGTTGATCTAGGTGTATTCTTTTGGATATTGTTTTATTTTGGAGCCTCTGGTCAACGGTTTCTGTTTTCCATCAGAACACCTAGTCATTCATACATGGTTGAGTGCGTGCTCCGAGGAAGATGAATGTATATCATCGTTGTTCGAACAATGAAATCTACGCACCGTTGCAGAAATATTTCAGGACAGCCACTTAGGTAATCCCGATATAGGACTAAGAGTATGTGGTGGCCATAATCGCGCACTCACTTCAGTACTTGTTGTTCACAGATTGCGCTAATAGTCGCAGGTGTTGCACATATCACTGGATAGGTTTCCTCGGTGACTAATGAATGCTGGGACAAATAGAGGTTGGAAGAAGATCCGAGGTGGTCAGATGATGACCTGCTGACTTATATCCACTGTTTTCAAGTTGGGTGCCTCGGTGTCAAAAGTTGTCCACTGTAAACAGATAAAATAGTTCATCTGTTCGCTTTCCACACACAGTTTTGCCGTTTTGTCGGATTCTGGTCACCTAGGTGCTTATGTCTTTTGTATA